TAATTTGCAATAATACGTGTACGAGCAACTACTTTACATAATGTAAATCGTTCTAAACTTGACTGTAAAAATATGATTTTTGTAACAGAGCTGAAAAAGACTGCAATGCCCTACCCGATCCAGTTGTCTGAGTTACAAATTTTCAGTTTCCGTCACAAATTGACTTCTGTGTACCTTACTTCATACTTAGGTGGTCAGTAGAGAGGGCATGCATAAGTGCACCAATGTGCCTGTCATTATTGTATTTTAATTCTCTTATTCTTGTTCTCGTTTTTGTTTGACAAATTCAATAAACAGTTAGATAGATAGATAGATAGATAGATAGATAGATAGATAGATAGATAGATGGATGGATGGATGGATGGATGGATGGATGGATGGATGGATNCACCTGATTTGGTCGTGGTCAGAAGCATTTGTGACCCCGAGGTTCTACTGTACGGGTATTCCTCGCTTAACATCCATTCATTCAGCAACTGTTAGAAGTTATGGTTGCTGAATGAACTTACGATCAGTCCTGGAAGTTCTAGCTGTTTGCATTTCCCTGCAGTCACATGAACAACATTCAGTTCTGTCTGCATTTACAACTGCCCCTCATGCCTCACAGCACCCGGTCTGGTGGCGGGCAGGGCGGCCAAAAGGAGAGAGATGGGGCAGAGGGGTTGAAGTGGGAACCGTCCTTGGCCGCCCTCTGACAATGGCTTGGATCCAGGTTGCTTCCTAAGAACTGCGTAGGATTGCCAGGACTGCTGCTGTTAGGCAGCCACGTGATATTTTGCTTAAATATATCCCTGCGGGTTAGTGAGTTGTCCCAATTAGAGTCGTTAAGTGAAGACTACCTGTGTTCTGAATGTCAGCAAAGCCTAGTCAAGAACCTCCAGCAGAGGGCAGTGTGGTTACTTCTGCTGTGATCTTGAAGGTCAAGCATGGGATTTGCATAGGAGACTTAAAAAATTGAAAAGGCATTCGAGAAGGTACATTTTGAAATATGAATTAAAACAAGAGTTAACATAGCATCCCTTTGGTGGGGAGGAACTGATACTGTCTTCCGAACAGGCTGATGAAATGTTGGGTGTGGTCTGTTAAATCCTCTCCTGTGCTTTCCCCCTTCCAGTCCGTCACTTTCAAAACAACCAGTAGGAACCTGGCTCGAGCAATGTGCATGAAGAACCTCAAGCTCACCATCATAGTTGTCATCGTATCCATTGTAAGTTTGGGGTTGTATTTTTTTCCCTATACGAAGGGAAGGAACTCTGCCGGCTATAAAAGGAAATGACTCGTTATGTCCTTTTGTCCTTGTTCTGAGTCTATAAATGAATTAATGGGCCATAAGAGATCTATTCCCCTTATGGGAGGACGTCCATTTGAACGAGAGAAATAGTGAGGCAGCTGTTCTGCTGCTGTGCAGTTGCACACTCAGGTGACTGGCCTACAGGTTGTCTTATGGACTAAAGAACACAGAATAACAGAGTTGGAAGGGACCTTGGAGGTCTTCTAGTCCAACCCCTTTCTTAGGCAGGAAACCCTACACCACTTCAGACAAATGGTTATCCCTTCTCTTCTTAAAAACTTCCAGTGTTGAAGCATTCACAACTTCTGGAGGCAAGCTGTTCCATTGATTAATTGTTCTAATTGTCAGGAAATTTCTCCTTAGTTCTAAGTTGTGTCTGATTGCTTCTTGTCCTCCTCTCAGGTGCTTTGGAGAATGGCTTGACTCCCTCTTCTTTGTGGCAGCTCCTGAGATATTGGAACACTGCTATCATGTC